GTGGTCCAATGATCCATGATTATGTAGATGGGCTAAAGTAATCCATGGATAGTCCATGGAGGTTAAATCCATGTAGCATGAGAATGTGGAAAGTCATGGGTCATTAGGGTTTACAAAGTGTAACCCTAGCATGTGCAACACTATAAATAGAACCCTCATGAACCAAAATCGGTTACACATTCTCTTTGAGATAAGTAACTTATTCTCTCAAGCGTCCTCTTGCATATTGGTGTTTGTGAACCATTATAGGCATCACACTTGGGGTGCTCAAGCTTTCAAAGGTCAAGAACTACTAGTCCTTCTAAAATGTATGTCATCTAACTAGATATATTATTCATTTGGCAATTTGTATGCTAGTTAGGACAATGCTTTGGAAAATTTGAAAATATGCATGTATAATAGAGAAAACATAGATCCAAAGCATTTAAGGTTGCATGTGCACCATAGGAGTGTTATAGTGCTCAAAACCGAACAGTATGCCCATCCTAATCCACGTATGCCCAACATACGTGGATGAGATCCGCGGCCATAACAAGCTAGTACGCGAAGAGTACACTATGGTACTCCATGCATACTAACTAAAAGGGCCAAAATGCAATGATTTTTAAATATGAAGGGTTAAACACGAAACTTACAAATTTCCAAGTGTTACACATACTCACAAGGATGAATCTAAGGACCAAAATGAACCCAAAATACTCCTTAAACTAGATCTAACATCTAGAGTCATCAAGATAGAAACTTTATACCTCCAGAAGATAGATCAAGGTGCACAAAGGATGGATCCAAAAGCTCCAAGCAATCCCACACTTCTCCAAGAAGCTCCTTCTTCTTCAAAGATCACCAAAATGCATGAAATACCACCAAAAGCTCAAAAACCACACCAAATGAGGCTAGGGTTTCGATTCTAGGTTTAAAGGGATGGATGCTGAAGATAATAGGGTTTGGTGGTAAGTTAAGGAGCTTAAATAGGATCCAAGACCCTAAATTAGGGTTTGGGTCTGACTGGAGTACGCCTTACGTACTCCCTTAAGCATCCGCACCCAATCTGCCTAGTACGCCCAACGTACTAGGCTCAACACTAGTACGCCCAACGTACACTTATGTATGCCCCACATACGAAGTTTAACCCTCGAACCACCAAACTTCTGAAGGCCATAACTTCTTCGTTTTAAATCCGATTTGGACGATCCTTACATCCATGGAAAGGTGACAACAAGCTCTACAATTCTATCAACTCATCCTTGCATTAAAACTTCCCGAACTAAAATCCAAAATCAAACAAAATACCGGACTAACACTTTACCGATATACCCCTTGGCTCCAAAACACAAATCGAACACCCGGATCATCTAAAATACATTACCCTCACCCAAATGGGTCTAAATCTCTCTTTCCTAAAGGCCCTAAGCCTTATGACAACCGATCTTTGGGTCACCACCCCAAATTAGGAAACAATTTGGAACAGGGCGTTACAATATTCTACATGATCCTTTCTTTTCTTTCTCCATGTCATGCTCATTTACATGACCCTTTACATATAAAAATACATATATACATACATAAAATGTATAAATTAACTTAAAGAGGGAGAGAGAGAAAGAGAGAGAGGGAGAGAGAGAAAGAGAGTTATAACTCACCTTATCAGTTAAGGAGGACTAAATGTCCCACTTTAGCTCCTTTCAATTAATGCATATTGATCCATATTCTTTGCTCTTCAGCCACATGAGCTTTCAATCATCAATCCAATCCATAACCACCTTTGACCTCAACTTTCTCCTCCTTCCTTCTTGAAATCATCGGAGCTTAACCCTATAGGGATTGGGTGGTGTTTATGACGGAATGAAGGGATTAACAGCCTTTGTTCTGTCTCGTAACCGCTCCATGGTTACCTATTTGCCGCGCTGCGACGACCTTTTGACCTCAATCAATGGACATGCATTTGCTTGCCATGCTGTGACATTCTTTTTGCCATGCTGTGGTACTCTATCCCCACTAGCAACCTACTTTGGCCACCGCTTCGTGATACCCATATGCCCGCGCCGTGGGCATCTTCTTTCCACGTTGTGGTTCCAGTTTGATAGCAACCCTTGGTTGCTTTCCTTCCAGCTTTAAGACATTTTTTGTCCCAACTTCTAACCTTCATATCTTCTTTGTTACTAATCTATTTTCGATGTTCTTTATATCCACACGAGGGTGAGAACATACTCTATACATCTGTTAAGTCACTTATCAGTGACTTAATACGTGTCTTAATCTGTTAAGTCACAAACTTGACCTAAAAAAGCATAAAATACCATTTTTATGTTTTTGGCCAAAATGCATATTCTCATGCATTCTTTCTCTTAAACTTACTCATCTAGCCTCTTCTAAGTTACTTAAACTTATCTTGGCAATTTTTATGAACTTAAAACTTCATAATCTTATTTTTCCTCATAAATGACCAAATTGCCCTTTTGGTCAATCTTTGACTAAAAGTCAACTTACTCTAACTTTCAGGTTCTTAAAGTGATAATTATTATATTTATTTGGTTGATATAGAGATATACATAATTCACATATGTATGAGATTGCTAGAGTTTGGTGCATAAGATGGAGAAAAAAATGATTTGAGAACACTCAAAACTCTACATTGTGCTGCATGTATTCATATTGAATGAGGACGAGGAAGATATAGATTTATATAAGCGGAATATATAAATTTTGCTTATATTGTTTGAAAGTAATATGAAACAAAATTTTTGGTTATTTTTTTTTATTATCTATTTTATCGCGTGAAATCTTGTATTGTATTTTTCGACACTAAACGAGATTTACTAAACACATTTTAAATCAACAACACCCAAAGAGCATTCATAAAGAAACCAAAGCATAAAAAAGATTTCATATTTGATTAACAAGAGTCAACACATGGATGATTAGGAGATATATTCCAGCCAAAATTAACACTCAACAAACCAAACATACCACCAATTAACCAAATGACAATCATATTCGATTCACAAGAGAGAAACTAGAAGCTTCAAAGAGCCATGCTGATTCTAATTCCAAAGAGATTTGATGTTTTGAACTAATTTGATTACCTTGGTCACATGTGGTTGAGTAAGCCGTTGGTTGATGAGCTCTCTGGTGGTGTAGCTCACAACCAACCCTTCACCATTTATAGACTAGAAAACATGCAACAAAGACACAAATCCATAACCTACACCATAAACAAAAACATCACTTACAACCTACACTTCCACAACCAAATCAACACCTGGCCATCGTTATCCCCTTGTCTCATTCAAACCTGGTGATCAATTTAGAAAGGGGAAGGGAATAGGGAAGAAGGAGACACAATTGATGAAACCTTAAACTGAAATCATAAGTTGGAAATGAAATCAAATCCTAACCAACACAAACTCAAATGTATGGGAGTCGATTAAACCCTAAGATCGTCAACTGAGAGGGAAAATTCATTAAATGCTAATACGTTTTATCGTCATCTTGATTGATCAGATCAACATATGGATATGAAGAAAGGCCAACAACAATAAACATTGATTAGCGTCGCCATCTCATCATGGGACCAACATGGAGGAGGTAGGCGGCTGGATGTCGCTGGTGGTTTTGGTGGCAAGTAGATTTGTTGGGTCGTGAGAGGGAGAAGGCGAGATGGTGAGTATTTATTTATTTTATTTGTTTTTAAATAGTTTTAATTAAAGAAAATGTAAAATAGATCAAAAATGCTATAAAGATAATTTTACATAAGTAAGAGACCAACCACGATATAAATATAAACCACAAAGACCTTCCATAAAATCAAAAAAATTAAAGACTAAACCTTATATTTTATAATTTTAGACAAAAACTATGAAGATTTTGTCCACGGGAAATGACAAAATATAAATGTTGATATATAATGTAAGTTGATATTATATTATTTTTTTGGTACATACATATTACGGATAACAAATTTTAATATATTTTATAATATTGATCGGACGAGATAACCATCGGAATAAAATATCAACTAACATTAAAAAGTTGATTTCGTTTCTAACCCATTAGTATCGTTAATTAGTAAATATATAAATAACTTAAGCTAACAAAGGCATATATAAAACAAACAGTTATAACCACAAAGATACAAATAGTGGTGTTCGTTTGGATGGATTGGTTAAATCCGATCCAATTGAGTCAATCCAAATTGATTTCGGTTTTCAAAATATGGATCCGAATTATTCAAACTAAGTTCAAATCCGATCTGATCCAATCAAATTCCAATTCGGTTGGATCAGTTTTTATAATTCGGTTTTCAAAATGCATAAAATTTTAAAACGATATATGATTATTATATTATCAAATTTCTATAGAATAAGCAAAAACAATTATTTAATTGTAATTTATAATATATAAACAACTACTAAGAAGGTGTATTATAATTTAATATTTAATAGATAAAACATTTTTGAGAGAAAATGCATATTTATTTTTTTTATTAGGTGAAACTTTTTGAAATTTTTTGAAAAAAATAATTTATAAAATTAATAAATAATTATAGATATATTAAAATTAAATAAATAATAAATTGTTATTCGATTTTTTTGGACTATTCAGTTCTTATTTTATAAACCAAAACCAATCCGAAATCCAAAATAATACTTCGGTTTTGGTGTAATCCAATCAAAAAATCCGAATATCCGAACCAAATAGTCTAATCCAAATTGTTCAATTAGATAATTCGGTTTTCTTCAAATAGTGAACAACCCTAAACAACCTAGACATAAAGTCTTAAAGTTAATTAAATGCGGTTAAAATGTGAATAAACAAAACATATGTTGCTCATTTAACAAAACTTAAGAGCTTGAGGGCAGATTAGTGAAAATTGTGAAATTCGACAACTCTTATGATTCGAAGCATTTAACGAATCAGATGATTTCTTGTGAATCAACAATGGAGGTCACCGTCTTCTTCTTCTTCACTTCATCTCTATCTAACGATAAGAAATCCTAACAATGGAGAAACACATTCAAACCTTCCTAAACAAAATCTCATACTTAGCAATCACCATAGCAACATTCACTCTACTCCTCGTCTTCCTCTTCCAAACCCCACCAGAAACCTGCATCAACCCTAACCACAAACCTCATCCCAAATCCTCCTGTGACGCCGCTCACCGCCCAATCACCACCATCGAAAAGAAAAACCACCGTCTATGGTCCACCCACACCTGGCGGAAATCCGTCGATTCGTTCTCTGCAATCTTCAATGATCTCCGAACCCTAAAACACATCTCCAACCACACACACGCTCTAATCGTCTCCGCCGGTGGCGGTCAGGCCGTCATGTCGCTAAAGGAGATCGGATTACACGAAATCACCGGTGTTGAAGTGGTTGATTCACCGCCATTAGTGAGTAGAGCAGATCCACATAATTTGCCCTTTTTTGATGGGGTTTTCAATTTAGGGTTCAGTGCGCATTTGGATCTGGCATTATTTTCCATCGAGGTATGTTAGGGAGCTTGAGAGGACTGTTGTGGTTGGAGGCGTGATTGTGGTTTGTATGGAGGAGTGTGGAAATGGTGAGATGAATGAAGCTCTGAAACTCTTCAGGAATTCAAAGTTTTCTCAAGCGAAATGTCACATTGATGGGATCTAAAATGACAATGATCATCATGAAAAGAATTAAAGCTCGTTCTTGAAGATATTCGAGGTAATTTCTATGTAATTAATCACTGTAAATTATGTTTTGATCATTATGTTATATTTGTTGTAGATGATGATCTTCAATGTCTATATTACACCAACTACATTTAAATCCATTCAAATTTTTCTTTGCTTGATTATGAGCATTCATAGCTTCTCTTTGATTTTTTCTTTGCTTGATTAGAACAGATCTTCTTGTATTTTTCCCTACTGAATTACCGAGGAGTTTCATTGATTGTAAATTGTAATGTAGTATAAGTATGTATGGCTGTATACGTATTTGATTGTATAAGACTATAAGTATATCTGATTACTTAAACTATTTTCTGTTAAGTAGTTATGTTTTTCTATTAAGGTTTTCTTCTGTTTCCTTTTAGCTGTTTCTCTATTAAGCTGTTTTTTCTGTCTCTTAGATGATTTGTGATTCTGAATTTTAGATGTGAAATCTTGCCATCTTTATGTTTGAGAACATATTTGAGCTATTATCATGGTTTGTTTGTTTACTATTAAAATAAATATAGATGTTCTTTTGGATTTTTCTCATTAAGAAATAAGAAGAGAGTAAAATGGTGTAAAGACTCAAAAATTTGATGATTTTGGAAGTTATCATCTTCCTCTTCGAGGGGTGTCAATTTTCGACCAAACCTGAAAATAAATATGTTTGAGTTGATTTTTCTGACCCACCAACCCGTCAAATATATATGATTTCAGAAAAATATTTAATATTTATTAATTAATTGATATTTGGCTATTATTTGCTTGGAGTGTGTCCTAGAATCGAGAAGCCCAAATCAACAACACATCTAACACCCAATTTGGTGTTTGCCCTTCCATTGTCTTATTTTCACGCTCACACCCTTCGTCTCGTCGGATACTCGACACCAGCGTCAGCAAACGCGAGCTCTACCGTCGCCATTAGACGTCGCCCTTCCCCTTTCACCAACCCATCATTTCTGGCGAACCTGTCAGTAATTTGTCATTTTGTCACCAACATTGCTCTATATTCGGTGTATATGCTTAAATGTTAATCTGTAATTAATTCTAGAGAAGTGTATAACATGTATAAATTTGATATGTGAAAAGTTAACTTAAAACTGGCCCGCTGACCCTCTAACCTGGCCCACTGGCATGAAACTTGAAACTGACTTGCGAACCTGTATAATTAAACGGGTTATGTGGTTTGTGTATGGGTTGATGTTTCCAATCCACGAATATGTGACTCGCCAACCTGCCAAACTGCCAATTTGAATACATATATGAGTTGGGTTGGGTTGAAGTATGCTGAAACCCACGTCTCGAGAACTCGAATTCGACCTAATTGCCACCCCTATTGTTTGTCATGAGAAGAAGATTAAACATGAAAATTTCATTTACCACAAAATAGTTTAAAATGTTAAAATGATCATTTTTATCATTTAGCACAATCATTCAGATAACTAACCAAATAACATGTTTTCGTTTAGAAACAAATTTATGTGTGGCTTCTGAATCAATGAATCAATAAGATGTTGGTAAATCCCTTTTAGTGTTGTCACATTTCAATTTTTTTTTTCTTAATTTAAAATAATCAATGCAGTCTAGAATAATATTGATGTATCTCTTTTGTCATGCCCTCGACGAGACGATGTTTTGCAAACTTTTGAGCTGGTTGCAAAAAGTATGGCAAATATTGCATTGCTTTGTTTACGAGTGAAAGGGTATTCTAGGCTTTTGATGTCACTCTGCTCTCTCATGCATGAGGCGTTCGACTATAGTCAACGACAACTAAATAAGCTCATGTTTAAGAGTAGTATACATTTGTACTTGTTTATCTTTATCATTTTTCTTATAAAAAATGTACGAATAAATGTGAAATTACTTTTAATCTTCAATGTTAACTTGTACGGACATAAACATGTCATAATATAAAAACTTAAAATTGGTTCGTTACATTACATAAATCATTTATCTCGTACTTGTGTTATTACTTTGATGTAACTTATAATTAGTCATTTTAATAATTAAGTTTAATTTATAATTTGTAATTTACATTACCCAAATCATTTATAAATTCCAAAAAAATATAGACAAGATTGTTCAGAAAGTTCAATAACCAAGGCCGATTGTGGCTATTCGAGCACTCGGTATGGGCACGTTAAGGGAGCCTTATGGCTGATGTGGCTGGCAAAACGGGGTTATGACTTGATGAACACCACCCCTTTTTCTCGTTGAGAGGGTGTTATGGTGGATCTTGTGGTAACGAGGACAAAATAAAACAAGAAAGATGATTGGCTATCTCCTTCATAAACCAATCAAATAATTTTCTCTATTTTCTCTCTCTACCTCTTAACATGATATAACATGTGGAACACCATTTCCCCTTGGTGTTATGGATGAGGTGACATCAATTTGGTGTTACATCCAGTTGCCCACACCCAATGCTCTTAGGCCTACCGGTATGCTTACAACGAAAACATCCGTGGTCTATGTGGCCACACACAACAATTGTGAACACCATCCCATATCCTTAGTGGTGGCTAGTGGTGAGAAAATTTTTGGTCAATTGTGGAGGGAAGGACGAACCACCACATCCAATGAGCTTTTCTCTCTCTCCATGTCTCTCTATCTCTCTCTACAATTTAATTAATTAAAATATGTATATTTTTTATTTTAATAATCAAAAAATAAGAGTGATATAGTGGTAGGTATCCCAATATTTTAGTGGTTGAATATGGTGATGAGTGGACACTCACTACTATAATGGTTAGTGGTGAATATAACGGATGGTCTTATAGACACCACTTTATAGATTATATCTACTAGAATTACATCAGAAGTAGGTGATGCAAAATAATGACTAATTAAACTTAACAAATTACTCCCTCCGTCCCAAAATTATTGTCCACCTTACTATTTTAATTTGTCCCAAAATTATTGTCCACTACCAAAAATAGATTACACTTTTACCATTTTACCCCTAACATTTAATAAAGTAAACTTGAATAATTACAAACACACATTTCCCATTAGTTTTAGAAAAAAGCAAGAGGGTCATTTTACTCAAAAAGACAAAACTAATGATTGTTTTTTATAATCTATGTGTTTTTTGTCTGTGGACAATAATTTTGAGACGGAGGGAGTATATTTAAGTAACCGATGAAAGTGATAATAAGATTTACGGAAACTTACATCATGTTGTATAAAAGTGATATTGGAGCCGGAAATAACCAAGTTTAAAGTTATATCAATTGCATTTGCCAAAAAATTATTTTGTTGTCGTATTTGCAAATAATTATTCCAAATTGTTGAGGTACAATTTGTTTTGCTAACTTCTGCAAATGGTAATGACGTCCAAAATTGACATTTTTCGATTATTTGGAATTGTAAGATTGACGATCCAAATGTTTAATGAAATTCTAGAGAGATTTAGAGAGATTTCAAGAGAAATAGAGATTTGGGGTGAGAAATAATTTGAAATATTAGGGAATTTATAAGGCGAGATATTCATGTATCGAACTATTCATGCTTATGTTTGCTTATATTTTTGATTTTTTCTTTAATTCCTTCAAAACTTTGGATATTGCAATTGGATATGGAACACCAATACAAGTTTTACTAATATTGTTGAGATATTCATTTTTCCAAATAAAGTGTGTAATTTATGTATCATTGTTAAAGCTTATTTTATCAAATTGATCATCTATTCATGTTTTTTGATTTCTATCACGGAATCATAGAATCACAATTCACTCTTTGTTTGATCAAATTGATCATGTAACCCTTGACTCTTTGTGAGAATCTATGACAATTGTGACTTTGAGGAAATTGTGATTTTTAAATTGAAATTTTGATTTTGTAAATGAATTTTTGATTTCTTCCATAGTTGTGAAACTAACTTTTCTAATAGTCTATCTAAACATGTAGTGTTAGATTTTTTTATTTTTATTTATTTATTTTTTGAAATATGTATCAAAGAATCCAATTATCATTTTTATCACGACATGCTAGAAAGCTCGTCCATATTCAAAGGCCGAGCAATTCCATGAACAATAAACTTCTCCGACAAGAACAAATCTGGTGCAGTAATCGCGACTCCATTGATAAACACAACTTGAGAAAATCTAGACGTATCAGTGATCTCCACATCTTTACCTTTAACCAGAGTTCTTAAAGAAGCACCTGCTGGCATGCCCGCCAACTGTTTGATAGAATGCCTCAATGGAACTATATGAAACCTCATGAACTTATCCAACAATGGTGATGACATAGCCATTAACGCAACATTCGGAGGTGTAAAAATCGTCACCGAATCCAAATCTGGAAAATCTTTCAGAATCCCCTGAATCACAGAGTTTAATCCAATGGCAAACGGCATGAATCCGGATGAGCTCAGAAATTTCACCACTCGCCCCCATTCTTCCTTGTTCTTGATAAATCCACGGCCAACGCCGCCGCCGCCACCACCACCGGATTCACACGCTGGTAATGTTATGCTTTCTTGGTTATGATGGAAGGAAGCGAACGGACCTGCAACGCCATGAATAATGACGGGTCCTTGAAGAAACAAATTCGGGTGAGTAATCAACACGTTGTTGATTTCAAGAACATGATGTTTGTTATCGTTCTTCGTGATTGAAACTTTCTGGTGTTGAATCAAGGTTGCTAAGCAGGTTTTTATGGGTTTTTTGAACAGATCTTGGATGGTTAATTTTTCCGGCGAGATGTGGTAGGCGAGGAGGTGTTTGGTCATGTAAGGACGGATTGAGAGGTTGGAAATGGCGGAATCAGGAATGGCAAAGACGGTGGTTTCTGGTGTTGATAGGAAGAGGTCCGGTGAGATGTGGAGGAAGGTGGCTATGAAGTTGAATCCATTTGATCGGAGTAGTTTGGAAGCGTTGGTGGTGATGTCCGTGAAGGAGGAGGTAGTGTCGTTTGGGAGTTGTTGGTTGTGGTGGTTGTGGGAGCGGAGGGTGGTGGTGATTATGACGGCGAGAAGCATTGAGGCGGAGGTGAAGAATATTCCTTTACCCATTTTTGTGTGTTGAGTTGCAGAGTGAAAGAGGAGGTGAGGCCCGAAGCGGTTGATATAGATTTTGATTATATTTTCGTAAACAACCCTGGAATTTTGTAAATGTACAAGATTAGTCTATCAATAATTCAATATCTTCATTCAAGTACTCCACATCCCAAAATCAAATGAAATCTTTTTAAATCATGATTTTTTGTTTTAAAAAATATTGGGTAAAT